TAATAATACAGTGATGAGAATTAAACAGTTCTATCATTAAACACAGATATATTTGTTGTATGAAGAGAAGAAAACAGTAAAAAAGAGACTTGGTACCTCCTCCCCAGGACTTGTTTGACTTTAACCACAGTGTTGGCAGCGTTACGGACCTGACCCTGCTTTGCTGCTATACCTACAATCTGCACGAGATGAGCAAAAACATTTTCTAATGAGTACTTGTACTGTACAGGAACACAGTGTGAATACTTACTTGTACTGTACAGGAACACAGTGTGAATACTTACTTGTACTGTACAGGAACACAGTGTGAATACTTACTTGTACAGGAACACATGTTAGTACCATGACAATGATGGTTTAACACAGAGATTCTTAACCTGTGGGCCGAGGCCCAATTGTGGGCCGTGAGCGCCACCCTGAGGGCCTCAAAAGAACAACAGTTTTTAACTCTGGGCCGCAGAGGGCCGTGGGACCGCATTGATTTAGAATAAGGTGCAATACACTTTCTCACCACTAGTAGCAGTAGTGCGCCACTCAGATGTTTAACAACTTTTTTAATATGTAGAAGAGTCCACCATCACAAATGGTTCCAAAAGGCTGGACTGCTACATGAAGAGAGCACCACAGCTTCAGAGCCAGCCCGGGAGGACAGCGACACAGAAATTGAACAGATACCGCTGTGTGACGCAGCTTGTTTAACTCCGAAACTGAAGAGGAGGATTTCGATGGTTTCAGTGCACCGGAGGACYATGAATGAGACTTTTTGTTGGACCAGAAACGGTTAAAGAAAACTACCAAAATAAGGTCAGTTAAATGAACCGTATTCCTCCGAACTTTACCGGTAATTTCTAAAGGTTTGCTTTTTATGTTTTAATTCCAGACCTCTCGCCTTTTTTTTCCCCGAGAGTTTTTTATTATTATTTTGTACCGGTGAACTTGCCAACCTTTTTCTTAAAAATAAATCTGATGTTGAATTCACTTTTTTGATCACAGTTTTGAGTGTACTGTTTCGTTTTTGTTTTTACTGATGGGGGTTGCGGCTTATATGTTGATGTTCGAGCGTTTTTTTTAAAAAATGGCGGGTGCGGCTTATAGTCGAAAAATACGGTAGAAGCAAAAATGAAAGTAACTCGTCAAAAAAGGCCAAAGTTTGTCACTAATATGAAGTACAGCTTCTGTTTTTACCATGCAATATTTAAAAAGTTCAAAACATTTTCAAATACAGTTGCAGATACAACTATATTTTAATTTGCACTTTATCAAATAAATTTTCTATTTATTTTTTGAATGTTTTTAATG